CCACATTATTAGCTCTCCAGGACTACATGTGGCCTATTCAGGACATGCCTGCTTTAGAGAGAGAATATTGCATTGGACAGCTGGACTGTTCTGGGCAAATAAATATGCCTGGTGAACCTAATTATACCGAGTTCAGTTGTCTTAAGTAGTCATTAGAGGTTCGTCCCTCCCCAAATCTAAGCTTCTGTCATTCTACAACTAGGGATATGTTATTGTCTGTCCCCTGGGAAGAATAGACCACATTGCATTTTAAAGACACATGATACCCAAAAGGTATAAAATCTCTTGGACACTAGGTTCATGCATATTACTAGTTCTGTTTTTGTATAAGTTTTATTACTGCTTTACTGATTGTTGTCAAGTGAGAGCTCTTACAAGGTCGCTCTGCCTCTTGTCTTTAACCCAGTCTGTCCTTAGGCATACCTGTGACATTGGGCAGGATGTGCTATACTCACCACCCCTTGGCAGCAGATCTTTTCACAACATTCTGGCTCCAACTTAACCCTACATTCTGCCTTAACATCTACCCTTAGGAAAGCATCCAGTAGAATAGTTATACTAAAAGACTAAGAAGGAACAACATAAGGTAATTTCCAAAGACATTTGCATTTGAGTAGAAGACAGAGACTTAAACCAGTAAGACTGAACTTTTGATTGTAAATATTTTAGTATTTAAAATTGAGACATTGAAAATCTTTCTTTGATTTGGAAAGCCAGGATCTTTCAATCACTACTGGATTCAAATAGTGTGTGAGAGAAGTATATTAGGAAAATTATCACAAAAGAGCTGTACTTCCAAATTGAAAAGATGGTAAAAGGAGCTCAGGACTACAGGGCACAGCCTTATCACACCACACCCAATGCTCTCTGCTTCCTGTTCTGTCACTATCACTAGGGCATATATTTTTTGTAGTTCTTTAATTTATTTTTTTCATAATTTTATTGAGAAACAAAAAGCAATGAGACAGTTTCAAACCAAATTGGTAGGACAGCTTCAATAATTAACACATTGCATACATTCTTCCTGGTGGTTAATTGCTGTACAAGATGCGGACATGATATCCTATTTACAAACACCATTAGAACAGATCCCTCTATTCATTAAGAGAATGTAACTATATATCTATCCTAACCACTTTGAATACACAGATACAAAATGGACATTCATCTGTATCCCTTTTTTTTGTTAAGTTCTATTATTTGAATATTATAGGTGTGTAAACTCGGCAAAATATTCTAAAAGAGTCCAGTAGCCCATAATAGTATTGGGTCTTCCACTTGACTGGCAATGTCAGAAACTGTTGACCTGAGTCCCCTATAGCTCAACATAACACCATGGCTTTACTTCTTATATTTTGTTTTTATACTTTTCTGTTGGATGGTTATACCAGCCAGCATTCTTCTAGAACTAAAACTTTCAAACATAAGAAGTGCACTTCTCTGATCATTTGAATTCTCTGCTTTCTCAGGATAAAGTCCTATCTTTCTCAGTTGGTCTTGCAAGACTGGCTCTACATACTGAGCTCCGATGCTGCTTTAGAGAGTACTCACTCACTCCTACTCCATGGAGCACTGCAGTAAGACTCAGAGAAGGATGTGTTTGTTGAAACGTTGTATAGTGCAGTATTTCTTTGAGGCTATTAATTCTTGTTCTTTAATTTTTGATTACTAGTACATGTTTGCTGTACAGAATGATTTAGTGTATTGTGGGGAGTTAGTACATGTACATAATACATCTTAACTCTTTTTACTTCCTCTTTTCCTCCACTCCCTCCCTTCTCTCTCCCTCCCTCAGTCATCTGCAAAAGGTCAGTCTCCCTGCCTGGGAGTACATGTGCTGCCAATGAAAGCACTCCTTGCTTGTTACTATATAGCTTTAGTTTTGCTCTAAATTATTTATACTTTGTATCCTTCATATAAGAGAAATAATGCCATATTTGTGTGTGTGATTTACTTCACCTAGCCATTATGCCTCAAGGTGTATCCATTTTCTATTTTTGCTTAGCTATTATAAGCTTAAAGTATAAATGAAAAAGAAAATTATCAGTTAATATCTCAAGCACTAATTATGTAGTATATACAAGAGAGCTCAAATTTAACAAGATCAGTGTTCTCCCTAATAACACAGATGGGCAAGTCCAAAGTCAAAGAAGGCAAAATGGAGTGTTCAAAATCACACAGCTGCATAATTCTAGAATCCAGACCTTCAAGATGACTGGTCTATTCACTTTACTCAACTGGCCAACGACTGACATCTTCTTCTCCAACTAATACAGATATTGTAAGGAGAAGCATTTCCCCTATATTCCTGCAAAATTCTGAGATACCTTAGTCCATTTTCTTCTACAATGCTTCCCTCTCACACTCAACCCTCCTCAAGTGCTTCTTACCTCTCTAAGTGTCATCTTCTAGCCATCGGGTTCCCCCAATTCCGCCAACCCATGTCTAGTCAGACCTCATGCTCTTCTCATTTCCTTACTACAGCCTTTCTGCAAAGCCTAAAGGCCACAGATGTTATTGACCTCACATGAGAAATAGCTCACTGTCTGTTGTGCTTCACGTGCAAAGTAAGATGCGATATTCTTGATAACTTACTGCAAACAACAATATTAAAAAGTTTCTTAAAAGAATAATTACCATGACGCTTTCATATCATCCTTTTCTCAATTCTGTAAAACTGCTGCTGCCTTAATATAATTTTAAGCAATGATCTGTTGTCTTCAGGAATATTAAAATAATTCAAAAAAAGAATTTCCTTTGAAAATAAATATGAACTGTGCATGTATCAGATTATCATTTTTTGATTTTTACTTAGAAAATGATAAGGTTGAAAGAGAAGAGCACTTATCTTTGGCAACCTGCCTTTCTTATTAGAACAGTCTTAATTTTTTAATCTCTGGCTCCCACTCAAAATGTCGAAATGTAGGATAATTTAGGAGGAAGTCAGCGATTCTTAAACACAAGCCCATTTGAAACTTCAAATATAATGTGAAGGGTACAATAGATACTAAGAAAAGGGAATGAGCTTATTCAAAAGGAAAGAGTTACTGACTTGAGGAGAACAGGAGAGAGAATGGAGGCAAGAGATATATCTATGTATGTAAGCAGAATGGTTTGGACAATTGTACTGTGCATTTGTGTGGAAAGAAGCAGTTAATGTTTAAATTGTTTTGTCTCCTTTTTTCAATTATTTGTACTTCTTCTCTTCTTAATTTCTTATACATTTCTTTCTTCTTCAATTTTACATGCATATATCTTGTAATATGAATAACTGGTTAGAAGACAACACTGTGCATTACAACAAATACTGTGAAATTCATATTACTTTGTTAAGTGAAATTCTGTATCACTTGTAATTTTTTGTTTTAATTTTAATTTGTACTCTCTTTAAAAAAAAAAAAGCTTTAAGTATGCGGGCTCCACTCCAGAACCGGAAATGAGTGGTAGAGCTTCAAAAATTGGCATTGTTAAAAATATCCTCCAGTGATTCTGTTGAATAATCTGTCTTAGAAACACACACTGTAGGCTGGTGCCTCATTTTACAGTTTAAAAGCTTGAGTGTCAAGTTATTAATTATAAAAAATGAATAATTTTTAAATATGAAATTCTTTCCTGTTGCAGCTGGTTTGCAGGCAACATCTCCAGGTCGCAGTCTGAGCAGTTACTGAGACAAAAGGTAAATGGTCTTCTCTGTTGAATAGTCTCTAAGTATCTCTCTGTCTTAATTTTTCCCTGTGGTGTTTGGCTGCACCCCAGGGCTTCACATACACTAAGCTAGCCCTCTACTTCTGATCTACACCCCCAGTCTAAAGACTTCTCTTCATTACTGGGTCCAGAGGTTAATGCAGTTTCCATAGGAACATTATTTCTAATTCTACAGTCAAAGCATCATAGTCTTTATCATCCAAACTTTGGGTTATGAAGGCCTTCATTTCTAACTAATTCTTCTGTTTCCATTGCCTATTACTGCATAATAAACCATTGCAAAGTTTACAGTTTAAATGGCATTTATGATTTTTTTCATGATCCTATAAGTCATCTGGGTCAGCAGCTCATTTGACGTAGGCTCACTCCCGTGGCTTCACTTGGCCAGTGCTTTGGTTTGGGGCTCGACTTTACTGAGGCAGCCAACTGGAGTGCCACAGCTGTCCAAACAGCCTCCTGAAGTCCCTAACTGGGGCTTCCTTGGCCCATGAGTCATAGAAAGTCACATGACCCAACACAGCCAACAAGGGAGGAGGCTGCACAGAACCATGAACAGAAAAAATGATTGCTTTTGTTTTCATTAATTTTTTTTCAGGGATGAAACCTAGGACTTTGCACACACTAGCCAAGCTCTCTGCCAATGAGCTCCATTGCCCAACCAAAAAGAGATGACTTATTCCTAGGTCATGAACATTAGTACCTAGACTAGAGTATGGCAGATGTAATATGGAACAAATTCAGCTGATATTATTAAAAACTGCTGTTGAATTATAAATAAGAAATTTTTTTATCTATAAAATGATATTTTATGGGCCAGGGAGATGGCTCAGTAGAATAAGTGCTTCCCTGGCAAGCACAAGGGTCTGACTTCAATACCCAGTTCAAAAAAAAAAAAGAGATATTTTATGTAGTTCTACTAAATAATTAACTGAATACAGCAACTATTTCTTTGAGAGATGCTCATGAGAACAGCATGAATTCACTTTTGTCACACCTGTGGCTTATTACCGGCTCCTTCTGAGTCTGGGTCTGCTTAGAATTATTACATATTATTAATAAAGAAAGTTGAGAGTAGAATTTCAATGATTTATTCTGCATATTTGGTTTGCTAAAGTCCTCCAAATACATGACACAGTGATTATACAGTGATGTGTGTTTCTAAATTTTATTGCTTCAACATAGAAACATTATCCTTGCATAAGTACAACAGAATTATTGAGGAGAGTTCAAAATAACACGAGAGGAAGAGCAGAAACACACAGATTAGATCCATAAACATATTGAGTGGGCTGGGGTCACAGTTTATTTTTTTTCTACAGTTTTATTGATAAACATATAGCAATGAGACAGTTTCAAATCAAATCGGAAGTACAGTTTCAACAAATAATACACTGCATATATT